TTTGTTTTTTATTCCCCCCCCCCCCCCCCCGTTCCTTTCTCCATCTACTCTCCGTATGGGGTTAGGTAAACATAAGTGGGAATGTGTCTCCTTTTGCTTTAGGCGTTTGCTCAGTATCGTTTGTGACACCTCTATTCTTGCATGTACCCATAGTATTTATATTTTTCTTTTTTTTTTTTTTTTTGAAGAGTTTCTTTTTTTTGCTGTTGGGCGCGTGTGCTTGACAAACAGACAGACAGAGATACAGAAAGTGAAAAGTCACTCACCAGGGGGTATGTCCATGCCGCAATTCCTTCTCCTCCATTCTCTTCTCATGATCTTGGGCCCCCCACGCGCACTTGCCCGGTGTGAGTTTTAAGCCACCGGATACGGGACGCGAACCACGGTCGACTACATGGGAGTCCAGCGACATAGCCATTACTCTAACTGCTCATCCCCCCATAGTATTTTCCCTGTTGCGAATAGCCCTTTGTACAAAAATACCACATATATTATACTCCTGAAAAAAATCTGCTGGGAACAGCTGATTGTGTAATGGTTACATCTCTGGACTCCCATGTCGTCAACCGGTTTGAATCCTAGACCTGGCACCTTTAAGCTAACGCCCTGCGTGGTTACATGCTGGTCCTAGATCTCGGGAGAAGAATAGAGGAGAAGGGATTGCATAGAGGAGAAGGGATTGCGTGTGAGGACAATGCGAGGACAGGGAGTGATTTCTCACTTTCTCTCTCCAGCGAGTGCACACACCCATAGGAAAAGTCTCTCTTTAAAAATAAAATCAGCTAAGAGATTTGTTTTCAACTTCTGACTAGGAAGTGCTACAGTTAATATTCTTGTACCAGCGTGCCCATTTCTGTTGGGTATACACCTAGGTGTGTTCATTGTTGGGTCATAAGATTGGATATGTTGAAAACTGGTAAATAACACCAAAGAGTTTGTTTGTTTGTTTGTTTGTTTCTTTCTTTCTTTCTGTCTTTCTTTCTGTCTGTCTTTTTGTCTGTCTGTCTTTCTGTCTTTCTTCCTGTCTGTCTGTCTGTCTTTCTTTCTGTCTTTCTGTCTGTCTTTCTTTCTTTCTGTCTTTCTGTCTGTCTGTCTGTCTTTCTGTCTTTCTATCTTTCTGTCTGTCTGTTTTTCTTTTAGTCTTTCTGTCTTCCTTCCTTCCTTCCTTTCTTTCTGTCTTCCTTCCTTCCTTCCTTCCTTCCTTCCTTCCTTCCTTCCTTTCTTTCCTTCCTTCCTTCCTTTCTTCCTCTCCTCTCCTCTCCTCTCCTCTCCTCTCCTCTCCTCTCCTCTCCTCT